CGTCGCAATATCAAGACCACTCGTCCTTGTGACAACTTGGACTATCGAAGGCTGGGACCATTTTCTATTTCTGCACAAATCAATCCAGTTGCATATCGTTTACATCTACCGAAGTCAATGAAAATCCATCCATTATTCCACGTGTCTCTTCTTGAACCATACAAGAGAGTGGACATACCAAGAAGAGGACAAGTTCCACCTCCTCTAATAGAAGTGGACAATAATGAAGAATTTGAAGTAGAAGAAGTCTTAGATTCGAGGCACCAAAATAAATTAGAATATCTTGTCCATTGGCACGGATATGGTATTAGTGAACGCACATGGGAGCCAATAAAGAATCTTGCAAATGCAGCAAAGGCGGTGGAGGCTTTTCATCGACGACATCCATCAAAATCAAGATGAAAACTTTCTTTATAAAAGAAACAACATCTAGGCAAGATAACATTCTACTTTCAATTCTTGTTCGTAGCTTCGTTGTAGTAGTGGCGCTTAAGAGATGGAGAACCAGCGGATTCGACTCAAGAGCCTTCATTTGCTGACCTGCCGGACGAGACATTACGATTGTCACAACCTTCAAGACGACGCAATCGAGATGAAGATCTTCAAGAACGACATGTTCTTCTTCGAATAGATGGTGAGATACAACGCGTTTGGTATCACGATTTGGGAAGGGACTCCCGATGTTTGGTGGTTTTGCTAGAGGTAGGAACAACTCCTGATGGTGTTCCAAATATGCTATTAGAAGGAAGTTATGAAGGCCTCAAAAATGATAAAATAACTGGGTGGTCTTCTCGCCTTGGTATGGGACACTACCGATGGTTGAGAGGCCCTATCAATCATCTTCAAAGAGAACAGAGATCAGAGTATGTGGCGAATACAATTTGTCGCATCATAGATTTTTTCAACATATGATGACCGCTCCTCGTGGAACTCGTCCCTAGAAGGAGGGGTAATGTCACGGTTATAATCATGTAAGCTACTAATTACATATAGAAATAGATAAAAGTAAGTTAATTCTATAATATTTAATATAGAAGCTTCTTAGAAGCTTTCTAGACATTGCTTTGACTTCATAGGTATCTTTAATTGACTTTTTAGATTAGAAACGTGGTCAACAAGTTGGCCATGTGCCACACATGTTGTTAGCTTGAAGATTAAGCTAACTATGTGGCCCACACGTACAAAAACTTGCCTTGTAAGTCAAGGCATGTGGCCTACAAAGTCAACACATATTCGAGGTCCTATAGAATGTTGCTACGTAGCCCCTAGTTAGATAGTATATATAGAGACAAGAGTGAAGCCTTCTTCACTCTTGTCAACTCCTTTCTTGTTTCTAGTCTAGTTTCAAGGGTCTCTAGTTTTCTTGTCTTTTGGCACTAGCCATTCCAGTTTTCTCTTTCTATATATATATACTTGTTTATATATATTTTGTTACCTCTCTTTGAGTGAAGGCTCACTTGTCTGAATTGTTTTTTCATCGAGTTCCTGTCCTTGACAGTACTAGACTTACTCAATTTTAGCCTAGTAGATGTTGACTCTCTTGTCCTAAAGGCTTCTATTTTCTCTTTCAAAGTAGTTAACTAATATAAGAGGTGCTATATTTGAGCTTTTATCTAGGATTGCTCTGCTATATCTTTGATACTATAATTCTCTTCTAGACTTCACTATTGTAATGCCTTCTCACTTGCTAGTTGATTTTTTAAGAGTAACTCATGCTAGCCTCAACACAATACTTGTAGAATGGATAGGATTTTTTTTTTTTGCAATACATAGTATGTAGGATTAAGAGAAGCTAATAAACTGATAAATTGATAGTTTAAAAGGGAGGATGGATGATTCAGTCAAAAAAAGTAGTTATCATTGTATTGTATAGTAGTTGGTATTTTGAGGTAAGCATAAGTAGGTTGAAGAAGAAATATGAGCAGCCAGATTGTGATAGTTATGAGTTGGGATAAGCTTGGTGCTACCTCTTTGTTTTCTTTGTTTCTTTGTAGAAAAAGAGTATTGGATATTTTTTGAATAATGTGAAGTGAAATTTTGGAATGAAAAAAAAGATTTAATGTTGTAAATAAAATATGGAATTTATTGTGGATGAATACAATGGAGAATTATAAGTGAATAATTGGAAGTATTGGTGAAGAATGGATATGATTGGGAGAATTATAATATTGAGGTTTGAGAAGGAGTCTTTGGAGTTTGGATTTGTTTAAAAAAGTATAGAAAGAATGACAATTAAATGTAGAGGATTCCAGTGATTGGATTATGGAGTGATTGTATGCTGTCTTTTAAGATAATATAGTTTTATATATCATTGTCATAAATTAAGAGAAGAGAAGAGACATTGAATATGAAGATGGAATTATCGATTGTAATATTTCGTAGAATGTGGAGGACAATGTAGCATTCTTGGGTGTTCTTAGTTGATTAAGAGATAGTTAATTGTATGACTCTAACGTGTAAACGCATGCGGATAAGTCTTCCTTGTGTTCAAATCTCCCTATACGGAATTATTCTGATTAGATTAGTTTGAAGTAAATAAAACGACAATTATAATATTCAATGTCACCATAACAGCTGACCTTGAATTAGATAATGACTATCAATATACTACCAAAGAATAGTTTAATACTTACTTTGATATCAATAAAACAAGATTGGCCTATCTCAAGAGTCTAAGATCCTTCTAATCCACAACAATATAAAACCTCGTCAAAAAGTAAGACAAAATGGACTTGAACAAAACTGAACAGAATTAAATATAATATGACAGAAAAGACAAAATTGAGTAAACAAAAATAGAATAGAATAAAATTCAACAAGATGCAAAACTAAATTTTACCAAGACAAAAGGTCTAAAGTCATACCGGACGACATGCCCAAAAGGCCTTGGCCAATCTTATTTATACTTTGTTCTATTATCCTAGACTTTCTAGAATATTCTTAAATAATGAACTCTATTTAGATAATCACTTTAAATTCTTTCTAGAAGGTTCCATAGTAGATCCTACTTAAATAACCGTCCTAAATCCTTTCTAGAGGATTTTTCATAGACTCCACCTAAATAATTGCCTTCAATCATTTCTAAAAGGTTCCATGTTAGGCCTCACTTAGCTAACTGCAATAAGATCTTTCTAAAATATTTTATGGTGGATCATATATAATCTACTAATTTAGCTCCAATTCTAAGAACTTCCATAACTTTTGAAACATTGTTTCAATTATCTATCTCTATGTGTCAACAATACAAATATCTTATCTATACCTTATTACAACTTCTATAGGAGGCGGTGGTATTTGTCTTCTTCTGGAAATATTCACTATCTTATATGGCTTTAAAAGAAATACATAAAATATGCAATGGATTTTCATAGGCTCTAATAGATGTAATCAATAAGCAATTCAATTGACTTGTTCACAAATAAGAAATGGTCAAAGTTTATAATAATCCAATTTGTTACAAAAGTGAATAGTTTTAATATTACAACAAAGTAACCACACCTTATTACTAATATGGAAATGAAGATTTTCCTTGGAATAAGCAATCCATGTTGTTTTTTTTATTGTTCTTGAGCCTCTTTTAGTTATACCTTTATTGTTATATGTAGCTCACATAAATGGTTTATTAAATCTTCTATCATAGGATTATTAACTTTTAAAAATTCAAAAGCATCAAGTTGTAGATGATAATCATAATTAGAAAAGAAAGACAATAAAGTCTTTCACTACCTTCCACATTTGTCACTACAAAAAATCTCTAGATATAAATTCTAAACTTTTGTTGTATTCAAAATGTCTTATTGCTAGAAAGTTATGACAAACTTAAAAATATGTAATTAAGCTTCATCTTTTAGAACATATAAGTGCCCCTTAAAAGACAATAGATTGTTTTTGAATTCAAATTAGAAAGTATTATGAAACTTTGCAAGATTTTTAATATCATGAATAAAAGAATCAAAAGACTTACTTGATTGAATTTACTTAATGAAAGTTGAATCAACAATTAATGTTAATTTCATTGCTCAAAGATGAAGATGCTCTAATGTTAGGAATATATCTATTGTAATTATTATTTAGATAAGATGAATAAATATAAATAGATAAAAATAAATTAATTTGATAATACCTTTTAGAGAAGCTTTCTAAATACTTTTTAATCATTGTTTTGACTTTACATGTGTTTGTAGTTAATAAGTAGATTAAAAACTTTATCAATAAGATAGTCATGTGCCATAAATATCTAGTTCCAAGAAAATTATTTGTTATTAATCAAAAGTAACATCTTTTTTATTTGATGCAAAATAAGATTATCTAAAAAATACATTTCATAAATTATATTATTTTTCTAATTGATTAGCGATCTTAAGTTTGAATCTTGACAACATACTTAAGCAAGTTTGACAACAATTCAGAATGCATACCGACATAAAATATTTAAAATTCATATAATTTCTATACACTATGACCAAACTAAAAACATCTTTTAAATAATGACACCATTCTTCTAACAAAGCAATGATTATATATATATATATATATATATATATATATAAAATATCATAAATCTCATAGTTGATTTCAATTTCTAAAAATATTTTAAAATAAAAAACTATAAGATGAAATTTATTATTTGTTCCCATTTGCAACAATATAGCATTCAAAGCAAAATCTAATATGTCTATTTCCATAAAAAAATAATTTAGAGAAGTCAACATGATACAAGGTTGGTACAAAAACAAAGTTTATTTTTAAAACTTCAAATACTACTTCTACTTCTTGATTCTATTGAAGTTTATTATTACAAGTCAAATGTGTAAATAAAACTTCAACTTAAAAGAAATCTTTGATTAAGATTCAATAATAGTAAGCAAATTGAAGTAAGTAGTTATTCTTCAAATAGAATGGAATTTAATTAATATGAAACAAATTATTCTATAATGCATTAATTTTACAATATATTATCAATCAAAAATATATAACACACATATATTGGAATTCAAATATCTTGAGGTAACATTATAAAGAAGATTCCTTAAACATAACTACATCTTCAAAAGTAAGACAATGTGGAAGATGTTTTCCAATCAAACCATTGATGTAAAAGTAATTTTACACATAAAATACCAGAATTGGAAGCTTCAATCAGAACTGAGTCCCTTTGGAGGATAAAAGCACTTGCCTTGGATTAAACCAAAGTACCTCTACAATGAGGTCCATGACAATCAGCAAAAGGATACTCATCAGGAGCTATAACGGCTTCCGTGGTGAAGGTGAAGGGAGATGACAATTGGGGACCTCTGAACTTCATCTCCACAAAGTAAGCACCGTACCCGTTCTGAGAAAGTGGAAAAGTTAAGTATGAACAGCAAGATATGTATACCAGCAACAAGACCATCAACAAATGTTACACTTCATAACAACCATACCTTAGGCAAGGTCACAGTGGTCATGTACGTGAAAGTTCCATTACTGGACAGGTCGAAGGCAGAAATACTGATCTTGCGAGGTCTGAAAAAAATGGGTTGGAAACACATGCCACCAACTATCACAGTAGAGCTGCAATTACCACAAATACAGAATTAGCATTCCATTAAATCCGTACAGGATCAAATCGAAAGTAGTTTTCATGCAGGGCAATCAAGCTTGTAGCCAATAACCTAACTAAGGTGTCAGAAGAGACCAATCCGACCAAGAAATAGTTCTGCATACCAATTTCCCGAATCTGCAGTAAGCCATCGAAAATCTCTTCTTTCGCTGCTGGAAATGGTATGGGCATACCACAGAATAGCCGCCAGTGGTTGTTCAGATGCACTAACGACAACTCTTCCAGTCTCTCTATCGAAGCTCCACCAACACTTGGGTCGAGAATTCACGACACTTCCAACTGTCCAGGGGATAGATCTTGCAACTGTATGTTTCATGCTATGCCTGTCCATTGCTATACTCAGGTGGAAGGCTTCTGTGGCTGACAAAAGCTGCACTCTCATTGCAGCACTTCAGCAATCCTAGTAAGCAGGCTGAGAAACGAGACCAGTAATACACAATACATGCTCTTATGCCTCCTATTTACATAAAACAGTCACTATTATATATTCGCCTCATATTTTATTAACATTTAACGTCATCAAATGAAGGATGCAACTTCCAGAAGACTGATTCTTAATTGGATGCAAACGAAAGAGAAAAAGAAAGATAAGAGCTTTGTACCTTGAGCAATCCCGTCATAAGACTGTGCTCAGAGTTGGCCAAAATCAAGTGGTGGTTCTCACCTTCCAATTCATCCCAGAAATGGATGCTGCAAGATCCATACTCACCATGTACGAGTTAATGTCGGATGACCACTGGCACTTCATACCGTTCAAATGCAATATAAAACTCGACTTTGAACTGGGCACACTATTTTCATGCATGTAGACTTTTCTGGAGCAAAATTAAGATTAATTTGCTCAAATTAGGAGCCGTAATAAGAGGAGAAGGCAGGATGAAAACAATGTCAATCAGCTCTTTGGTAGAACAATCATAAGTAATCAAAGAGTTTAAAGTGGAAAGAACTGTAACTAGGGGTGTAGCATGATAGGATTTGAAGGTACCTGTCGTCAATCAGAAAAAACTCATCATTAGAAGCAGTGACGACAAGCTTCGGCATGGTGAGACGTTGGATGTACAGGTAAGGGTCCTCAATTGCCTGTCCGCACATTTGATCAGATGGTTGTGAAAAGGACAAGTAGCGGGAGAAGATAGTGTGCACCTTGAAAGCATCTTTCGCTTTGTCTCAATAGAAGAAAGAGAGGTTTAGGGTCTCATGCCATGTTTGGCTTTACGACGTAAGATACATAGTAGTCATAAGTATTCACGCTAATGTGACAGCACTCACCATGAGTTGATCAAACTCGGTTGTATCGAGTTTGGCAGTTACATTGCAGAAATAATATGGCTCAAAGGACACAGGCCAGCCACCCAGCGATCGATAAAAATGGTGCAGGTTCTTCCCTGATTTCAGCAAATCCATGACCATGGGCACAATTCCCACAACACGCTGTACACGATTCCAAGCAAACAATATTTCCGTTTCATTGTTTGTTTCTACAATCGAACCAATATGCTTGAAAAATGACTTAATCCCCTGTTCCGGCTGATTGCGCCGAATAGGAGGGATCAACATGATAAGGTACAATGTCACACCTTATCTACGGCACCTGTCAACCATGTTGTCCAGCCTCGTTTACTAGCACCTCCAACAACAAAAAATTCCACCTGCTACAACATGAAATAGCCCAGAAGTAAGTACAACTTCTGCACATTATAACAAAGGTTCTCTTATCGTCTCTGCTGTAAGAACGGAGGGGACTAGGTCGAATGGCAAATTATCATCTCTCAAATCTGCGACCACACTGCTGATGAAAGGAATTTGAACAATCTAACTACAATGTATAGAAGTTGCTGACTCATTGCGTTTTCTACAAGTACTCAATTTAGTAGTGTTTGATGTCCTTCCAAAACACACTGAAAATAACGAACCAGACATATAGACTAGAAAAAGGAAGTTAGTAATAAGGATAAGACCAGTTAAATGGCCTTCTACAGAACAGCTTTAAAATGAATATTGATTTGTCAGATGGAAGGTGAGGAGTGCGACCTGCAGATTCAGTTGTCTAGAAGCATAAGCTTGTACAGTATCTAAAGCGCGGACTGCTGCCTTCGTCATAGGAACGTGGGCAGGCCACTCCACCCTCCCTGTGTCCTCCATAAAGCGTGCCCAGGTGTCTAAGGAAACGGTTCACGCGCCAGGGTTTAGGGTTTATGACATTGGAAGGTCATTCACTTTGACCAGCAAGGCGGAAAATAATTTCTCAGACACATCGATGGCGGAGTGAGACACTTCATACGAGCGGCAAAGACAGAACCTAAAGGCTCACATGCAATTATGTCGTCTTCGGACCTTGGACAGTGCTCTTCATCACCCGAGAAGTGCAAGGGTTGATTTGGAACCTGATACACGACAGCCGCCAATGTCTTTGTCTTCACTGCCAACCTGAGAACGAAAAATGAGTTATATATTGCATCCTTTCTAAAACAACGGAAATCGCTAGTATATCACGGTATGCAACCCCTTCTCAGACCTAAATGATTTCAAGACGCGAAGAGGCTGGAAGTACTGACGCGGCAGCTAACAACAGTAACTCGTCTGTCGCTGTTGGGGGTCCGTGGGTATTGCTACCTCCACCGATGAGCAAAAAGGCCGTCTCATATTCAACTCTCTTGGGTATCTGTAGACAATTGCATCACCGTTGTCACAAAGCCTTCCCTCATGAGCTTCCCTCGAAACAAACATTAAAATCAATGAGTGTAAAGTAAACGCCAATAGAAAACGGTTCTCTTCAACATCCGAAGCATAGAAAACAAAACAATGTCGACAACTCAATACAATTCCCAACAAGTCAGAAACCATTTAATGATGGCAAGTGTGAAATATAAAAAACTCCAGAGCACATGGGAAAAGCAGACAATGGGAAAACAACCTTCACAAATTTGGAGGCTTACCAGAATCACAAGATTATGCGTCCAAATTGGCAAGTCGACCTCTGCCGAGGACAGCCACGATTGGCTGGTCATATTGAGTACGACCCCGTGCCACGATCCTGTGATGAACCGACCTTTCAATCGCCTGCCCGTGTCGTGCCACCTGCCAAAACATTGCTACACAATGAGTTCATCCTCATTCGCATGTTGGAAAATTAATGCAATCGAGAAATAAAAAGCAATTGAAAAACTCAAGTCACCTGTAATTGGCGTCTGGCTTGTTAACGTAGTCATCCAAAGGGGTGCCAAGGACAAGCGAGGATGGCAGAAGCAGCAGCAATCCCACAACACACGCAATACCAAGAAGAACCGGCTTCCAGGGGGTCATGACAATGATCTGATGGAGATGGAGATGCATCGCTTGCACTGCGTCAATTCCAGGGGCACATGCAGCATAAGGCAGAAAGAGGGGTGAAGTCCCAAGTGATCAGGGATCATTGCAGCCGAGAGTAAGCAAAGCAAAAGCGAGAGCACCACCGCACGGGTGATGGTGAACTAACTATACATGTGTACATATATAGAAATACATACAAATGGTCCTCCTTCCTTCCCTCCCTCCAATAGCACCGCGCTCGCTCTCCGATAGATACTTGCTTGCTCGCATGCATGGATGGATGAATGTAAAGATGGATAGATGACTCTTAGATGAACACGTACTTGGATGAATGGATGGATTGGTGGATGGATCGCTGCGCCCCCTTCTTCAGCTCCACGCCAGCCTCCGTGAAGATGGCCTTACTTACTTAAGTACCCCAACAGTTTTATGACCAGGTTTAAGGTTTTAGTATTTTTGGAAATTGTATATATATTCAAATTAGCCAAGCAAGATTAATAAATAATAATCCAAAATAAAGAAATTGTATATATATCAAATTAGCCAAACAAGATTATGAAGAATTCATATGATACAAAAGAACCAAATAGGTAGTATCAAACTAATGTTAAATAATGTAAAATTAAAAATTAATATAAATTCAAATTAATAAATATTTTACCAATACTATTTTTATTGATAAATTTTATAAATAGCCAAAATAATCTAATTTGCATTGCACTTATACAAAAAATATTTAAATGTTGATAAATAGATGTTATTTATGTTGTTATTTGTTTCTACTCCTATTATTGTATAGACCATTTGACTAATATTACTAGAAAATTCCAAATCATATTGAATTTTTTCTATTTTTTCTATTAAGTCATATTTTAAATACGGAATTAATTTTTTAAAATTATTAATTTAATTTAACTTTTTAATTTCTAAACTAATAATAACAAAGATATTTTCTTAAAGTTCAAAACATGGCAATATTTGGTTTAGTATTAAAAGTAGTTGTCTCACTTTCCTTAAAATACTCTTTTAGTATCAAAGGTTGAAAAAAAATACGAAACTTCAAAATTTTATTAGGTAACTAGTGAAAAGCATATAAATTATATATATTTTGATGTATTTTGTAAATTAACCAAACCAAAAATAATATTTATTTTTTTGAAAAATTATAAATTGTACAATTTATGATTTAATATAAGTATTTATAGTTATATTTAGATATTTATGATAATTATATATAATAATAATAATTGAATATATGAAGGAGAAAAAAAACACAAAACAAAGAACAAATAGAAAAACTAAAAAATGACATTAAAATACTTGTGCCAAATACAAATAGACTAATAAGCTTTAACATGAATAAGATTCAAGAGAAGAAGAATAAAACCTACAATATTTTATACTCTTATCTGTATTTTCACTTCTATTTGTATCTAAAATCTATTAATCTTTTAGAAAGATTCTAGAAAAATATATATGCTTATAGAAGAATTCTAGTGCTTTTCAACCAAAATTAAAAGAATCAATGTCCTTAACAAACATTAATGTGCAAAAGTATTTTCAAACTACATGATAAATAAGAGTAAAAATAATATCTATATCTATACATATATACTTTTATGGTGTTGCTAATACCACTACAATTTTTCCACTACTACCACAACCCGCAATCAACCACATGTCATCTACATTCTTTGTCAATGTTAGATAAAATAAAGTATCATTTTAAAAATATTAAAAATAAAAAATTCACATATATATTTTTTCATTATTTTTATTAATAACATGAATGTTTTTATATTTATTAAAGACCTTAGTGAAACAATATGTATTCTTGCTAATTTTTTATTCTTCTTTATTAAAACTAAATTTACTTTCTATGTAATTTACAAAAAAATAATCACGTTAGAAATATTAACAAATTCCTTAATTGGAATAAATTAAAAACTAAAGAGATATGTCAAATAGGCAGCAAATTGTGGTAGTAGTAGCAAAAACTATGGTTATATTAGCAATACCCTATATTGTGTATATATATATATATATATATATATATATATTCATATGAATACATTCCTTCAAGAACAAAAAATTAAAAAAATTGTAATTTATATCTTTAATATTTTCCTGCATTTTTAATTTTTAATTTTTTGTATTGACCTATCTTGAAATTATACAATACATGAAGAAAGAAAGAAAACATATACAACTTCTTTGTAATGACTATAGCAACAAAAATCTAAGAGAGAAGATACAAGATATAAAATTTGTGTTATTTGTTGTGCATGATTAGTCAGGACTACCTCTTTGTGATATCAATTACTCAAATGAGTAAAAAAGTATTATAGAATCATTTCAAAATAAATGAAGGAAATTAATGCTGTTTTATTTACTGGTATGTCAACTAGACAATTTATAGGGGTAAGGTTAACTGACAATAATAATTCTAGGTACTGCAAAGATGAAGAAAACGAGCATCCAAAGTTTCTTCGAACACATCATTATCATAACTAGTATACTTTTACAATACATATGAATAAAAATAAAAGTCGGGTGCAAGGTAGAGGCTTGGAGACGGTTTTCTGTCTCACTTACTTTTATGAATTCGTCGTGTGTTAGAGTTTATCTCTTAAACCTTTCCCGTGAACGACTAAAAAGGGAAAGAGGAGAGTTTCCTGCAACCGAACGAGCTGACTATTCCATTCTAAACATTTTCACTCGAAGCTACGGTACTTCAAATTCTGTAAGCAACATGAAGCATTTACTTCGGTTGGTCAAAACCACCGACCCAAAGAAGACCTACGAGTCGGGGTCCTGACAATGATTACAAACTTGTAAATCAACATACCTTGTCACATGCATGACAACACTCAAAAAGCATAGATTTGATCAGAATGCCTATCATAACATGTTCTCGTATAATAAATAGTGAGGGAAAAGGATAATTTTCCGCCCTGTCATTTCACTATACAAACCATCTATCCTTTCTGACAAAGCATTGAGTGCGAAATTCTTAAACTGGGGTGAAATTATTTTACAGTGCGACATGTTTCTTTAACAGCACTAGTCAATCCTTTGAATATACTTGCAGGGCGTAGAGAATACGGTTGAAAAACTTGAAAGAGTGCAGCAACATCAATCATCAACTGTTGTGTGCCGGTGCTGGTAAATCGTCTGCTTTGCGGGAGTACCGTACTCACAAATACTTCATCCAATCTCATCATCAGGCTCCAACACAATTCTGTGAAGTCCTCTTCTTGTAAGGTGTCGCTTAGTACTTGCAATACTTGCTGAAGCATAACTAGTGCCTCCACAAAACTACTGGATACACTTCTTGGTTTTTCCTCAAAGCTCTGGCCCCCAAGGACACCAGATCTTTTTACAGAAGGATAACGTTCTGAAACGCCTGAACCATTCAAAGTTCGCATTAGTGATAATTTTGCAAGCCATGAGGTGCTAGCCTTGCCCTCTTCATTTTCACAGAATATTGCGGCTACTTCCCACAACGACATGTAAAGGTTCCTAGAGCAACAAATAACATGTTCTTTCATAAACCAGGACACATAAGAAGAAAGAGTAGATGAGGCTCACCATCAACAGAATCGAAGGTCTCAGCAATCGAGGATGCCATGCTGCTGGCATAATCCTTGCAACACTTTTCAAAGTTCCCGATGATGGTGGATACCAGATTGGTATTCTGATCCTTTCTAAAGCTGCCGTAGAGGCTGACTACTTCATCAAAAATAGTGCCCTCAAGACCAGAAACTTCAGCATCTTCATCATGCAAATCAAACTCAGGTTCAGATTCAATTTTTTGGCATGTGTCTTCCAATCGAAGCTCCAGAAAGAAGTAATCCTCGGACCACTCCTGCCAGATACGTCAAAAACAGGTCTTAAGATGCAAAGAGGATTTTCGATGAAATTCATCAACTCGCTCTATCACAATTCTAGAGGCAGCTTTTCAATAAACTCGGTACTAGAATCATCCAAATAGCTACAGCTGATAGTGCAAGGATGACCATACGGTTCCATCGTTTTTCACCATGGGCAAAGCAAAGGATACAAAAACTCCCTTTACGCCAACAGTATCCACTGCATCTTTTTAACAACGGTATCCAACATTTGCCCGTAAAGATGCCAGGGGTCCTGTCCAAACATTATGAATGTTTTTCGTTTTAATGACCTGCTTCATGTAAACCTACTTACTAAAATAGCAAACTCCACTTGCGCACCAAGGTCAAAATAGAGTACCTGTAATTTGTTTTCACAATAGCGAGCAGCGTTTATGCATAGAGCAACTTTACGGACGTCCAGATCCGTAGCACGACCTGCAAAGCCCCTAATCTGATCGCATCTCCAAAGGATTTCCTCGTGATATTTTTCAGCAATCGGAATAACTCCCTTTTGAACGAAGGCCAGCCGAAGTTTGACTTGAGGCAGTGACCGACATCTATCAATAACAGACCACATGGTTGCCATAACTGCAGCCACTCCAGAAGGAATCCGCTTTTCAATGATTGTGCTGTTGCTCTCTTTCACAAGCCAAGCCTCTTCGGTGTTTAAAACTGTCATTAGCTTCTCCCATGCGTCTGCACACTCGATTTGAGCCCACACGTCTAGCCAGTGAGGCTGTTCAACAAACACGTGGACAACACCAAGCCCACTCCCTGTTTTCTCAACGATTCCGTGTTGTATAACAGAATCAACACCAGACGTAAACCGAACAACGCCGGCATCTTGCACTAAGAAAGATTTCATCTTACTGTCAAATGCCAGAATTTCATCAACAGTGTGCAGCCATAAAGAAGTGGCTGACCTTGAAATGGCAGATCTTTCCTCCACATCTTCAACTAATCCAGGAAATACAGATGAGGTGAGAAAGCTCTGAACCATCAATAAGAAGGGACGAATCCACTCCTCTCTTGCATTGTAGCCCGTAAGTCCAGCATCACTAATTATCGGCTGCAGCAGCACATCAACCGTATCCACAAACTCTTGACACATACTATGCGCAAGGGCACACACGAGTTCAGGTTTCTGGGTCCATTTCTTGAAGTGGTACGTAGCCTGCGATGCGAATGGCTTAACGAATTCCTCCATTGCCCAAAGGGGTTTGTAAGAAAGGAACGTATCCACATTGAGGCCAGTAGGAACACAAGTATTTTTTCCACTCTTTAGACAATCTTTCTTCAATTGTTCAGATGCTCGTTTCTGTTGCAGCGCTTGTAATCCTGACAAAACTCGAAAGTAGAGTTTAAACCTGGAAGGGAAAAGCAAAGTACATCCAACAACGTCAAATGCAGAAAAAGTAAGCCTACCTGGCGTGTGCGTGATGCATATTTTAAAGACAACCACAGCACAATTCATAAACAATTCTGAAAAATATCAGACTCTTCGCGCGTACAGTAGGAATTAACCTCTAGGGATCTTTGTGACGAAACTAGACAATCTCTTACAATGCTCTAAGAATTGCAAGCAACATTAAACATTGTGATCAGTTGCACAGAATGTACAATGACGCCTTACATAATGCACCCTCAGAACCAATGCTTGAAATAAGATTCTCTGTTAGGGGATTAGAGTGTAGTCCATTTAAAACCATCTAAACACCAAATAAATATGACAAGTGATTACCTGGACAAAGACGAATCGGACGCTTCCAGAAGCGGGTTTGCGCGTTGAGAGTTGTCCCTAAAGTCACGTTCGCCAATAGTAAGAGGAGGAGGCCACCCCATGGACTCTAGAAACAAACCAAATTCGGCCACTGTAGCCGAACGAATCGTCGACGCAGCGCGATCGAGACGTAATTCAACAGCCCGTACAAGCTGCCCAGACTCTGGCCGAGACTGCGAAATTGCAGCTACCGCTTCCTCAACAGATCGGAGACGACTCAGAGCTTCCACAAAACTCTCTCCACTGCCCCGCACCGTACCGCTTCCGCCAATCTTAAATCGCCGCTCCGCAAGCCCCATAGCAATACTGGCCACTGAGTCTTCAAGGTCCCCGACCAACATCTCGACATGCAAAACGCGCTCTACATACGCTCTGCACCGTTTCATCCTAACTAAGTCCTCCACAACCGCAGCGATATCGCGTGCGGCCTGCACACCCGAGGACGACGTCTTCTTACCATCAACAGCGGACTCTACCTTGAGAGCCAGCTCCCGGAGCCGCTCCGCAATCCTGCTCGCATCCATCGTTCCCTTCCCAATCCGATCCACAACCATAGCCCGCAGCTCGCGAGGTTTGTGAAGTGCCTCATCATAGTCGCGGCGTCCAGCGGGGAGCAGCTCGGTAGCGCGATCGAGGTCAAGGGCAGTGCGGAATTGCGATGCCAATCGGTCGATTGTAGCGCATGAGAGGTGTGCAGTACGACCTGCAATCCCCTTGTCCAGATTCGCCATGGCTATCCCTCCAGCAGTGACACAGGTTCAACATAACACAAAGAACATTCACATCTAAACCTCTCCTAACCCTAAAAAGGTGCTACGATCAAGATGGAACGCCAGTGAAAACAACAATCGTCGGCGACACACCAGACAGCGTCCACGTTGCGTTACAGAGCTGAGTGAACAGGCGAGCAATCTAGGGTTGAAGCAATTGGTGCACCTCAACCTCCACCGTGCCCCAAACTACCGCACAGACGTTTGTCATGACGTCGTCCAAGGCCCCTGCATGGATGCAAATTCCGATCCCAAAGACCCCCTCCCCCGCTTCCCAATTCTACTGCACCCCACACCGACACGGATACCACGACCACGACGACGATGAAATCAGTCCTCCTTGCTCGGCAACCAAGTGTGTGAACCCCCCCCCCCCCCCCCCCCCCACTCCTCCGCCGCCAAACTCATTACCCATATTCACCCTCACACCTCTTCACTAAACCTTCGACAAACATGGCTGTACATATTATTTATTTATTTTTATTTATTTATTTTTCCCTTGTTCTTTGCATCTCTATGAAAAGTTTTAATACATTCAGGGAGGTCTTAGGAGAACACAAAGTACTACTCCTTTTTAAATCTTTTGAACTTGTAGATGATTATTATGCAAAAAAATCTATTTGGTGATTAAAGCTATGTAGTTGGATTTTTCTCTACCAATTATCCACTTAAGAAGTGGTCAAAGGATATATTTCTTTGTTTATTAAATTACTCTCCACAAACTTGAATCATGTACTAAAAAGGTATTTCTTAGTAAGTATAAAACCACTCAAATTATAAGGTTTGTAGAAAAATCCAATTACTAATATTTACAATATTTCCAACAATAGAAAATTTTACCTATAATGACACTTTGAAGCTTGTTTTATAAGAAATTTAATAGCTTCAAATGCAAATTGTAGACAAAACATTTGTTCAATCTTATGACACTTGTTCTCAATCAAAGACTCTACATCATCAATTCTATAGACTTCTTCAATCTCTACCTATTTCAAAATAGTCATATTCATATGTTTTAATAAGCTTCATTGTAAATCTTTCACTTTTATATTCTTAAAACTCTATTCTTGTGATAATAGATTGCATAGCTAAAACATATATATATATATATATATATATATATATATATATATATATTATATTAAGAAATTATTAATAATTAAGAAGTAACTAAAAACTTTATCAATAATATTTATCAATATTATAGACATTTAATTGATTAAAAATCCTAGTTTGTACCAAGATTTTGGGAGACACTTTTCAATACATTAAAGCTTGATATCAAATCACCTTTAGCTTTTTATTCTCAAAGTAATAAATAAACAAAACATGTAAATTGAGAATTAGAGTAATATTTGTTATGAACCATCTATTGCCATAATAATTGAACAACTTTTTTATTATTAGTAAAAATAATAATATAATAATATCATATATTTTATTACTAAAAAAATATTATTTCTATCAATTATAACTATTATATGTGATTTGATATTTTTAATTTTTAAAAGTTAAAATTTTAATAATAAAAGATTTTATAAATAAAATAATAGAAATTTATACTATAATAAATATATAGTTAAATGAAGCTCAAGTATAGTAAAAAGTATGTATGGATGTTATTAGAAAAAGAACAATCTCCATTCAAAGTTGATGACAAAGTATGATTATTACGTCATAATAATTATGACTAAGAAATGTAATTACAAGTTAGATTATCATATGCAAGCGTTTAAAGTAAGAAAAATCTTAAATTTGAGGTAGTTTTGAAACAAACTAGAATATTATGTACATTGATATAATATGATTTTAATAGATACTTACAAAAGCCATATAAAAATCTTGCAAATATATTAGAACTTATTTTTGTTTTTTTATCAACAACACTTATCAAAACCAAAGATCAATCATTCATAATAAGATGTAAAAAAAAAAAAAACAAAAATAAGTTAAAATATTAGCTTTTAAAACTTTTTTGCAAGATGAAGAATCAACAATCAAAAGATTTATTTTTACAATCATTATTTCTAGAATTTTTAAATCAAGTACTTAAGTTGTGTCAACTTTTAGGATGTTAAAATCAAAATAAAGATCTTTAAGAAAAATATATATTTTTTAAGTGGATGTTTATATATATTATATATAATATTATAATCTTTGAATAGACTTTTGATACTTAATGATACTATTGGAGTTAGATACTATACTTGATAGCATTAAAAATGAATAATTGGAAGGCAACTATGAAAGCCTTGAATATTATCAATTAATTGGATGGTCTTCTTACTATAATATAGGATATTATTGATGGTTTAAGGAACTTATTAACTATCTTTGTGTTATTGTATAAACAATGGTTCTTATACACAATAAATTGAGTGCTACCAACCAATCATAAAGTATGTAATTTAAACCAAATACAAATGCATATCCAACACACTTTCAAAGAAAGATTAGAAATCTATATCAAACTAAATCAAGCTATCTCTCACATCACAAATAGAAAATCCAAGTATACAAGTATGAAAGTAAGAAAAACCTTGAAGCTTTATTGAAATGGCTAAAACACCAAAGCCAAATAAATCCTTTGTCAAGGATATGAACCTCAAAGTAAGAAATCCTCAATAGGCTCTTATATCACTGAAAAGAACTAAAAAGTCACTCAAAGATGATATAGTATTGAACTAGAATGGCTATTGCCAAAAACAAAAAGACTAAAAAGTCTTAAAAGAAGACTAAAGATTAGAAGGCATTGACAAGAATGAATAAGGCTTCACTCTTGTCTCTCTATATATATTCTTAACTAAGAACTATGTGGCAATATCCTACAAGACCTCTAAAATATGTTGACTTTGCAAGACATGTATCTTAACTTATAAGGCAAGTTTTCTATATGTATGCCACATAGTTAGTTTATTTTGTAAGCTATTAATATGTATTTAACTCTTTGATCAAGTTTCTAACTTATGAATCAACTATAAATACATCTAAAGTCAAAATAACATCTATGAAGCTTTTAAGAAGCTTTTGTAGAAGGTATTATGAAATTAATTTATTTTTATTTACTTCTACTTACTTCTACCTAATTATATTAGTAATTATTAGAATATGTATGTATGTATATTGGTGATATCCTTACAAGAAGTTCTCTTACTTTCAAAATCTCTCTTCGGACTTAATTTGATAAGAATATCAAAATAATATTTATATATATATATATATATATATATATATATATATATATATATATATTCTTTAAGTACTCAAATTTTAATTAATATAAATAAGTCAATTTATAAAAATACTATCTATGGATTAAAAACCACTAACTAAACTAAACTACATATATTTGATAGGATTTGGTACCCAATGTCATATCACGTTGTCATATAGCATGATTTGCTATTTGGAAATACATTGGATATCTAGCTGTAGAGAGTTTGGCTTAAACTTTTATATAAATCTTGTCTTAACTTCCAAAATTCCTTTAATTTGCATAAAACTCAAAATATAACAAAATCACTTCAAAACATATTTTTTCCGTGAAGGATTTTTTCTTCTTGAACTTTAGAAATTCATAATACTTGATTTAATTATTCAATTTGTTTCAAATTCATAAGGTAGGTAAAATTCACTCTTAAGTTTTACCACAAAAAGCACCAATTAAAAATTCACTCCCGATCTTCTGGCATCTAAGAAATCCTAGCAAATACTTTAAACCCTAATTTACAAGCACCTAAGCACTATTTTCTTAATATCTCAAGAACTCCATACTTAAATATTATTAAACTTATGTACAAATTTTACTAACATGAAATTACACATTCTTTGAAATTTTGAGCCAAAACCTTGTCAAATTGCTCAAGATATAGCTCAAGACACAACTACTAGTAAATCAGGTCACTTACTATGCTTAGATTTTATGCGTTGACTTCAAAATCCAATAACTCCTTTACTTCAACTTGAAATCCAGAAAATAATATGAAAAAAATATAGTTGCAAAAGTATTCTCTCTAGTTGCAATTGCCAATCTTCAATTGCCCTCTGTACGCGTGTGTTATGCCAAAAATAGTGATAGTAGCTCCCAAATCAACACCTTGACTTTGAGCGCCTATATCTCCTTCATTTAAATTCTAGATCATATAAGATTTGCACCAAAGCCATAGCCAAAAACCTAAACTTGCTTATCCTAGCTTTCAAAGCTTGAATGGCTCCAAAAACTAATCCTAATCTCTAATATGGCCTAGAGTAGCCTCCTCAAAGCCTTTTGATTATGATTTTTGACCAATAGGAATAGAGATTTTCATCATCCATCTCCATTCATCTATATAGATGCCTTAAACTCTCTTTGCTACTAAAATCCTTCTTCAATCCTTTTTCTTATAAGATTTACACAATTTATGCTCTAAACACCAAATAAGAGAACCAAAATAAGTTTTCAAAGGTCACTAATCTCTAACAAATGTGACTCTAAATATTTAGAAGCTACTATCAATCAAAACCAATTTTAAAAGCCACTACCAAAAAAAATTAAAATTATACAAATTCTATAGTAATCTTTTTAAACAACCTCTTTTCAAGGTAATAATCAAATTATATTCCACAACCAATTAAAAACTACTATTATGGCTCTCACCATGTTACTTAGTAAATTATATATTAAGTACATAATTATATTATTTTCATATAATAGCCAAACCACAATACGACAATGTGATAATTATTGTATTAAAAAAGATCATTACAATCAATACATTAATTGCTACTAACCAATTATGAAGTATGCAATTTAAATCAGATACGAATGCATATTCAACACACTTTTAAATGATTTTTTTAATTGATTAAGAATCCTTTCAATCAACTTTGACTACAAAATAGACATTGTAGAAGATGTATGCAAATATGATATGAATACCAAATTCCACTCTTCTAAATGAACGTTGTAGCAATTAAACCACCAAAGTTTGTTATAAATTTAATAAAAAAATCTTCAATCCTTATGAAGAGATGAGACATAGTTAGAAGATTTATTATAACAAGGAAAAATCCACTCTCTTGATAGAAGAGTAAAAAGAAGTGGTATCAAACATGTCATATGCCATTCACGTTAGCATTGATTATATAAAAGTATGATAGCAGTTTTTTTTTTTTTTTTACCTCATAAAAAACAAAGAAAATCACTTAGCACAACTAATAATTCATGATGTATAGAATCATCAATAAATATAAGCATATTACAAAGTGTCAAGATGTTGAGTAATAGATAAGTTCACCATAGCCACAGACATGGCT